AGAATAATGAATATAAATCATAATATTCAAACATTTCCATTAATAATTCATTTGACATTGATTCGAATTTTGTTACCAAACTAAAAATGAATAATTTATAACTTAATCATTCACTATAATGTAAATAGATCTTTATCGATAAAAATGAATCATAATGGAATTTTATGTTGTTTAAGTTGTTTTAAAAGAAAAGTCTGTTCATACCCCTAATTCCACTGTGATTATTTGTTATTCAATCCTATACACAAAACTCTATTTGAATAAAAACATTATTAAATGTCATTTAGAGAATAGTCTATTGATCTTGATTATCAAATATAAAGTCGATTGAATATTACACTTACTCAATTTGTTCATTCGAATCAGTTACAACAGACTATGATACTGAGATAGACTGATGTCAGTTTATACAGTCTAAATCACAGATTGATTTTCGTCCAGCTACTAGACAATCAGAAACGAGTCGATGTCAAACGACTTTGACTAGTCTGGAACGTTTTTAATAGTAGTCAGGACTAATCTTTTTTTTCCAGAGTGTGTCGCCCATCTTAGTCCAGACTAATCTGAAAAACTCTAAACAAACCACTTTCGTTGGACTCAATTGTTCTACTAATTCGCTTAAACTGATCAATAATAGAAAGTAAAGAAAGTAGAATGTAAATAGAAAATTTTTTTAGTATCTGTATCATTTGTTAAAAATAATCGATGGGATACTCAGATGCATTTAGAACATGGACTAGATAGTAGAATAAAAATCATTTTATTACCTGTCTTGCACTGAAACCTTCGTAGATTGATGATTAAGTACGATCTCAAGGATTTTCATATGTAATTCAAATATTGTTCTTTCTATTCCTTTCGTTGACAAGAAAGCATTTACATTTGAAAATTGAATTCTACCAACGGCATTTTTATGTCTGAAATCAACATGCATGCTATAACATTAAATGGTCTGAAGTACAAAAAGAACATTCGATAAATCATATCTGCACTTTTCATACGAAGTAGATAATAAAACTGCGTTTTTTTTCTTATTTGACAACATTTTCAAGCTATGTTGTGTTGCATCTAACAAAATGAAACTGGAATTTTTACCAAGTGAAGTCTTACTTGAAACATTTTATTATATTGATGATATTCAACTTCTTCATACTGTCTATAATCTCAATTCTCGTTTCAACAATTTCTTTTTTTTTATTCATTCAAAACAATTTAATATCTGAATAATGTACAAAAATCAATGTCTTTGTTGCATCGATAATAACTTAAATACGGCTTTTATTAAATTTGAAGAAAGATTGAAGTCAACAATTGTATTTTGATATTTGCAGGTAAATAACATGTTTATTTTTTACGATGTCATATTCATATTTGACAAATTGAAATGTTGTCCTGAGCCATATCAAATATTCTTCTTCATGAGGAAAGTCAGATATATGTGAAACGTCTGCGCCTACCAAAAAATTACGATCGCATTGAGAATGCTTAACATTCAAATCCATGATCAATAACGTATCACCGAATTGTTCTGCTTTTTCTCTATTTTTGTTAGTCGATGTAAATGAAGTAAATGTCAGTTCCTCCTTCATAAAGTCTTCTCGTTGCTCATCTATTAGTGTCAATCCACGATAAACTGTCAAAATATCTTTTCTTGGAATATGCTGGAAATAATTATGGAGTAAATAACAGAATGGTCCCAATGTTCCTACTTGTTCAAGAGTAACTGTATCAAGATTACGAAGAACACGATTTATTAATTTGTACCAGAAGGATTCTTTCGTGTAAAGATAGTCCAAAGTGTCGCCAATCTCAGAAGGATACCGAAGAAATAGAGGTACATCTTGCCCAAGATGTTCGACTTCGCGTAGCTGTTTGGCTAACCATTCTGCTTCATGAACTTTACCAAGTTTAGTACCTTCCTGAATAACTCCTTTTGTAGCTTCTTTAACAACGTAGGCCATTGTATTGCGAAAACCTCTAAGTATAAGTGCATAATAAGCATCAGCGAAGCGGCCTTCGTTCACGTCATCGCGCAAACGGCCACTACAATTTTCTTTAACCGA